AGACAGACAGACAGAACAGACAGACAGACAGACAGACGACAGACTGAAGACAGACAGACAGACAGACAGACAGACTGACGACTGACAGACTGACAGACTGACAGACTGACAGACTGACAGACTGACGTGGGGGGGAGGGGGCAGACTGACAGAACCCTGGAAAAAAAACAGACTGGAACAGACCAGTGGACTGGGGGGGGGGGGGGGGGGGGGGACGGGGTGACGAGGCAGATCCTGGACCAGACTGGAGGGGGCGGGAGACCCCTGGAGGGCAGGACCCCGCCCCCCTGAGCGGCAGATAAAAAATAAAAAACTGACAGGACCTGACAGACTGGACGAGGGGGGTGGGGGGGGGAGACGCTGACGGGAGGGGACTGACGCTGACAGAACTGACAGACTGACAGACTGACAGACTGACAGAACTGACAGACTGACAGACTGACAAGACCTGACAGACTGACAGACCTGGACAAGACTGACAGACTGACAGACTGACAGAGAAATGACAGACTGACAGACTGACAGACTAGAGACAGACTGACAGACTGACAGAAAACTGACAGACTGACAGACTGACAGACTGACAGACTGACAGACTGAAAGACAATGACAGACTGACAGACTGACAGACTTGAAAAACAGACTAAGAACAGACTGACAGACTGACAGACTGACAAGGACAGAGACAGACTGAAGACAAGACTGACAGACTGACAGACTGACAGACTGACAGAAAACTGACAGACTGACAGACTGAACACAGACTGACAGACTGACAGAAGACTGGACAGACGAAATGACAGAAACTGACAGACTGACAGACTGACAGACACATGACAGACTGACAGACTGACAGACTGACAGACTGACAGACTGACAGACTGACAGACTGACAGACTGACAGACTGACAGAGACCTGACAGACCTGACAGACTGACAGACTGACAGACTGACAGACTGGACAGACTGACAGACTGACAGCTGACAGACTGACAGACTGACGACTGACAGACTGACAGACTGACAGACTGACAGACTGACAGACTGACAGACTGACAGACTGACAGACTGACAGACTGACAGACTGACAGACTGACAGACTGACAGACTGACAGACCCTGACAGACTGGACAGACTGACAGACTGACAGACTGACAAGAAACTGACAGACTGACAGACTGACAGACTGACAGACTGACAGACTGGACAGACTGACAGACTGACAGACTGACAGACTGACAGACTGACAGACTGACAGACTGACAGACTGACAGACTGACAGACTGACAGACTGACAGACTGACAGACTGACAGACTGACAGACTGACAGACTGACAGACTGACAGACTGACAGACTGACAGACTGACAGACTGAAACAGACTGACAGACTGAAGACTGACAGAACTGACAGACTGACAGACTGACAGACTGACAGACTGACAGACTGACAGACTGACAGACTGACAGACTGACAGACTGACAGAACTGACAGACTGACAGACTGACAGACTGACAGACTGACAGACGACAGACTGACAGGACTGACAGACTGACAGACTGACAGACGACAGACTGACAGACTGACAGACTGAAGACTGACAGACTGACAGACTGACAGACTGACAGACTGACAGACTGACAGACTGACAGACTGACGACTGACAGACTGACAGACTGACAGACTGACAGACTGACAGACTGACAGGACCTGACAGACTGACAGACTGACAGACTGACAGACTGACAGACTGACACAGACTGACAGACTGACAGACTGACGACTGACAGACTGACAGACTGACAGACTGGACAAGACTGACAGACTGACAGACTGGACAGAGAAATGACAGACTGACAGACTGACAGACTGGACAGACTGACAGACTGACAGACTGACAGACTGACAGACTGACAGACTGACAGACTGACAGACTGACAAGACTGACAGACTGACAGACTGACAGACTGACAGACTGACAGACTGACAGACTGACAGACTGACAGACTGACAGACTGACAGACTGACAGACTGACAGACTGACAGGACCTGGACAGACTGACAGGAGACTGACAGACTGGACAGACTGGACAGACTGACAGACTGACAGACTGGACAGACTGACAGGACCTGACAGACTGACAGAGAAGACTGACAGACTGGACAGACTGACAGACTGACAAGGACTGACAGACTGAGACGAGACTGACAGACTGACAGACTGACAGACTGACAGACTGACAGACTGACAGACTGACAGACTGGACCAGACTGACAGACTGACAGACTGACAGACTGACAGACTGGACAGACTGACAGACTGACAGACTGACAGACTGACAGGAACTGACAGACTGACAGACTGACAGACTGACAGACTGACAGACTGACAGACTGACAGACTGACAGACTGACAGACTGACAGACTGACAGACTGACAGACTGACAGACTGACAGACTGACAAGACTGACAGACTGACAGACTGACAGAGAAACTGACAGACTGACAGACTGACAGACTGACAGACTGGACAGACTGACAGACTGGGACAGACTGACAGACTGACAGACCTGACAGACTGACAAGACCTGACAGACTGACACAGACTGACAGACTGACAGAGACCTGACAGACTGACAGCGACACTGACAGACTGACAGACTGACAGACTGGACAGACTGACAGACTGACAGACTGACAGACTGACAGACTGACAGACTGACAGACTGACAGACTGACAGACTGACAGACTGACAGACTGACAGACTGACAGACTGACAGACTGACAGACCTGACAGACTGACAGACTGACAGACTGACAGACTGACAGGACTGACAGACTGACAGACTGACAGACTGACAGACTGACAGACTGACAGACTGACAGACTGACAGACTGACAGACTGACAGACCTGACAGACTGACAGACTGACAGACTGGACAGACTGACAGACTGACAGACTGACAGACTGACAGACTGACAGACTGACAGACTGACAGACTGACAGACTGACAGACTGACAGACTGAACAGACTGACTGACAGACTGACAGACTGACAGACTGACAGACTGACAGACTGACAGACTGACAGACTGCAGACTGGACTGACAGAGACTGACAGTGAGACTGACAGACTGGACAGACTGACAGACTGACAGACTGACAGACTGACAGACTGACAGACTGACAGACTGACAGACTAAGACTGACAGACTGACGACTGACAGACTGACAGACTGACAGACTGACAGACTGACAGACTGACAGACTGACAGACTGACAGACTGACAGACTGACAGACTGACAGACTGACAGACTGACAGACTGACAGACTGACAGACTGACAGACTGACAGACTGGACAGACTGACAGGACTGACAGACTGACAGACTGACAGACTGACAGACTGACAGACTGACAGACTGACAGACTGGACAGACTGACAGACTGACAGACTGACAGACTGACAGACTGGACAGACTGACAGACTGACAGACTGACAGACTGACAGACTGACAGACTGACAGACTGACAGACTGACAGACTGACAGACTGACAGACTGACAGACTGACAGACTGGACAGACTGACAGACTGACAGACTGACAGACTGACCAGACTGACAGACTGACAGACTGGACAGACTGACAGACTGGAGCAGACTGACAGACTGACAGACTGCGACAGACTGACAGACTGACAGACTGACAGACTGACAGACTGACAGACTGACAGACTGGACACAGACTGACAGACTGACAGACTGACAGACTGACAGACTGACAGACTGACAGACTGACAGACTGACAGACTGACAGACTGACAGACTGACAGACTGACAGACTGACAGACTGACAGACTGACAGACTGGACAGACTGACAGACTGACAGACTGACAGACTGACAGACTGACAGACTGACAGACTGACAGACTGACAGACTGACAGACTTGACAGACTGACAGACTGACAGACTGACAGACTGACAGACTGACAGACTGACAGACTGACAGACTGACAGACTGACAGACTGACAGACTGACAGACTGGACAGACTGACAGACTGACAGACTGACAGACTGACAGACTGACAGACTGACAGACTGACAGACTGACAGAGAAGACTGACAGACTGACAGACTGACAGACTGACAGACTGACAGACTGACAGACTGACAGACTGACAGACTGACAGACTGACAGACTGACAGACTGACAGACTGACAGACTGACAGACTGACAGACAGGCGCGGCAAACCTTTTTTTGGATCAATCGATAGGAATTGACGAGACTAATACATTTCAGTTAAAATGTTGTAGGTACCATGAAAATTGTGGGCGCCACAGGCTTGGGAGATTTGTGGGCGTTAGAGTGGGCGTGGATTATTCGCGTAACAAACTTGCGCTGCGTAAATGGCTACGAAATCTAAATCATAAGTTCCAATTGTCTACATCTGATAGTTTTCGAGATGTACTCGTTCATACTTACGATTTTTAGAAGTTTGTGGGGTGTTTGTGGGCTCGGCGAAAACATTAAAAAAATAGTAATAATTTAAAAAGAGAAAAAAAAGTTTACCCATCATCAAATCATGTTAAAAAGGAGTAAAATGTGTGTCGAAGAACCTTTCTAACGACATATAGCACAAGCAAGTAGCTTTAGAAATTCACAAGTTACGGGTGTACGATATTTAGCTATTTATAGCTGGTTTCCGACAAATTAGCACGTTTTTCCAAAAGTGCAAGAACTAAAAATTCTTATATTAAGCTTTTTAACATCATCTAAACATTTCAGGACACTTATATAAAATTTGGATACGAAAAAAAAGTGTAAGTCTCAGGGTCTGTTTAATGCTCTGAACTGGTAAATTTTTGTTGGTTAATAAGTTAAAAAGTCACATTTAACAAATACGTGCTGTTGAGCGCAGCTGCAAACCACTCGAACTAAAGAGAGAGTCAGAATCACTCATTTCTAAGCGCCTCCTCTAATTTCTCTATTATTTGGAGTACACAGAGCCCGCCTCTCAACGCCTACGGTCCGTCGCCAGCGCAAACGTTTGGTTTTGTTGTTGTTACTCGCAAGCTGCGGTGTTCGCAAAGCCCATAGCCCTTGTATATAAACGTTAATAAACTGAAGTATTGAATTTATCTCGCCTTGTGATTTGTTTTTTAAATAGCTAACAAAATTGCATTTTCAACATTTGGAGGCCCGACGAGATCTTTAAATTTCATTTTGTGAAAATTCTTTTGTGCAAAAGAAACAGTGCACAAAGAAGACAAAAGAATCCCGCGAAAACAACTGTTACATTAGTCTGGTTCCGCTTTAAGCTGGTCCTGATAAAATATGGTATGTTTTATAATTGCATAAGTATCGGCATATTTTGCAAGGGTTTATATACATATAATGCGGCGTTTATTTTGTTTGATATCATAATTCGTTAACTCACTGTGCCTCGCCAACCGGTCACTGTACTTCTTGCCGTTACAAAAAAAACAAAAGGCTTCTGACAATTGTAACGGTAAACTCGCGTGTTGTGCAGTGCGTTTTGGGTTGCTTTATACCAATACATAGACACAGATGAATTCCGACAACATAGTAGGCAACATAGTGGCAGCCGATGATATTATGAGTGCGGTTTTTGAAGTGCAAGGCAGAATCGGTGTACAATAGCTTAAAGCGCCTGGATATTTCGCTAGCTAAAGACAAAATTTGCCTGTTTGGATCCGCGGAGTAGACAGTTCGGCTAGAACTCTCCTCCTTCAGGCCATAAGGCGTTGGAAGTGCCAAATTATTCGGAAATCGGCAGTGAGTTTAGCGACAATATTGAAATGCTCATGGTATCGGTCCAGTCACGGTTGAGGTGGCAACTTGACAACTGCCAATATCTTCAGCCATGCACCTTGATCCCAGCCTGGATCATTCAACTGTCATGGTTGATTATGATGATGGTTGGTCATTAGAAATATGTGATGTCAATTATCGTGTGGCACTGGACATCCTAAATAAGCGCTTTAATAATAAACTTCTTGTTTTTCAGGCACACATCAAGGAAATTCTTGGGCTGAAGAGGCTCGAGTCTGCGTCTGCTGTGGCATAGCGGGACTTTTCGGACAAAATTATTGGGCATATGCGAGCGCTTCAGGCCTTGGGAGATTGAAAACAAATCTCAGGCAGCATTGTGCAAAAATTGGATGCAGCAACGCAAGCTTACTGGGAGGAAAGCTTGTCAATGGATAGGATTCCAAACGAGGAGGATTTGCTCTCGTACCCTGAAGGGTGATGCCAGAAACTGGAGAGCGTTCAGCATGCATTGACGTCTAACATGGCCCATGACCATGTAGCTCCAAGGCCTGCCTTAAGGACGTTACTTAGTGCCCAAGTCAGCCAGAGTAGCTGCATCTTTTGTGATACTCCTGGTCAAGGAATATACTCCTGTGGCTCCTTCGCCGGTCTGTTTCCTAGTCTACGGCAAAGGGAAGTAAAACGACTTTACCTGTGCTTTAATTGCCTAAAGAAGGGGCACCACACTCGAACTTGCAACTCCGGCCATTGCCGCACATGCGGTGGAAAACACCACACGCTGCTCCATCTACGCCCTGATGATTCACCGTTGCAAGTTCCTGTTCATCAAATAAATGCTTTATGTTTCCCCGCACCCTCGCAGCCATCTGCCGCTCTTGTGGCCCAAGGATTTCATTTTGATTGGCCACCGCTTTAGTTCTTGTAAGGAACAGAGGCGGTTTCCTGGTTCCTTGCCGAGTCCTACTAGATTCTGGATCTCAACTACGCCTAATTACATCTCGCTTGGCCCATGAGTTGCAGTTAACGAAATATCGGTCAGCAGCAACAGTAACTGGCCTTGGTGCTACAGCTGTTTCTTTGGAAGGATCTACAGTCAACATTTGCCTCCGGTCGCGTTCTTCTGAATACTCTGCGGCTCAAACAGCGCTTGTTGTGCCAACGATTACGGGCAGTCAGCCTAGTTACATTATTGATATCGCTCATTGGAATATGCCGTCTAACATACAGTTAGCTGACCCTGCATTCAACTGTCCCCAGCGCGTTGGCCTGCTCCTTGGTGCTAGCCTATTTTATGACCTGTTATGCGGGGGCCAAATTTATCTGATTCATGGATTGCCTCTACTGCAGAAGACTAGTCTTGGATGGATCGTGACTGGCGGTGGAGATAGGCTTCGCGGCGATACATCTCAAGGCTTGGCAAATCGTAATACCCTACATCATGTCCGCTTGGAGGATCTGGTTGGGCAATTTTGGGAAGTCGAAAATTTGGACAGTGGCCAGCAAGGAAGAGCTAGAGTGTGAGGATCATTCCATCAAAAGCTTCTATCGTCTTCCCTCTGGCGCTTACTCCGTTCGCTCGTCATTGAAGCCCCATGCTAAAGCCCTTGGCGATTCGTACACACAGGCACACCGGAGGTCTCTTAATCTTGAACGCAAGCTGCAAAGGAATCCCCATTTGAAACATAAATACGATGCCTTTATTAAGAAATACTTGGAGTTAAACCACTCTGGACAGTCAGCTCGAGGCTGTGGGCCTTTGCCGGAATTTCGTGTCGCACCATTGTGTTCTAAAGGAGGATAGCACAACAACCAAGCTTCGCGTTGTTTTCGATGGATCGGCTTTAGCCTCATCCGGACCGTCCCTTAATGATGTCCTTATGGCTGGACCCGTTATACAGCCAAGGCTGTTAAATATTTTGATAAAATTTCGTACTTATCAGGTGGCCCTTACTGGAGGCATTTGGAAGATGTATCGGTGCGTAAGGGTAACTACTTGCAATTCATTTTATGGCGAGACGAACCGGACAAAGAGCCCGAAGTTTACAAACTGGATACAGTGACTTACGGAACCAAGACTGCCTCATTCCTATCTGTTCGAGCAATGCACCAGCTGGCCATTGATGAGAGGGATTCCTTCCCTGCTGCCTCGATACTTGCTCGAGGTGACTTCAAGTTACGAAAATGGTGTTCCAGCCACTCCGAGGTTTTAAAGGATGTGTCAGATGAGGACAAGGAGAAGTATTTGAAGTATTTCAAGTTCGGCGATGGCAGCGATATAACCAAAACTCTTGATCTTGCATGGGATCCGGCAACAGACGAGGTGCTGTTCTCTTTATCGTCTCTTGATCCTGGCTCAAAGGCCTGCCGACGATCGGTTCTGGCCACCATTGCTCGTTTATATGTCCCGCTAGGCCTTCTTGGCCCAGTAGTCACAAAGGCCAATGTGTTTCTTCAACAACTCTGCAAGGATAAATTGGATTGGGATGAGAGTTTGCCCTTAGCCCGTAACACCTTCTGGATTGAAATGTGCATCCGTTTTCAGAGCGTCCAAAGCATATCATTCCCAGGATTCTTGCTTCTTTCAGAAACTGTTGTTGAAATTCATGGATTCTGCGATGTTAGCGAGGAAGCTTACGGATCTTGCATATATGTATTGTCTAGAGGCACTTCTCCCAGCAGCCATCTCTTATGTTCCAAGTCCCGAGTAGCGCCTCTTAAAACGTTATCTGTACCTAAGCTGGACTTATTCGGCGCCATGCTATTAGCCAAGCTGATGAATGAAGTCATTTAAATGCGTATGTTTAATAGTCATTTTCATTGCTTGTGTGAATCTCAGTGGATCAGTAATGAGCCCTTCGTGGCAAACCGAGTACGTGCCCTTGCGTTTTCTGGCGTCGACCATTGTGGGCCCTTCTTCTACAAATCATAAGTCCGCACCAGGTCTCCATCAAGTGCTACGTATGCGTGTTCATCTGCTTTACAAGCAAAGCTGTGCACTTAGAGCTTGTCAAGGATCTAACAACTGCATTGTTTTTAAGTGCTTTGAAAAGATTCATGTCTTCACGTGGAAGGCCTAGTAGAATTTGGTCGGACAATGCTACCAACTTTGTAGGAGCTAAAAATTAAATGGCGGATTTGAAGCGGCTGCTTATTAGCTATTCCTATATGCAGTCTGTTCATCAAGCTTGCTTAGCGGAGGGAATCTACTGGCAATTTATTCCCCCTCGCTTACCACACTTTAACGGATTGTGGGAGGCAGCAGTCAAGACGACAAAATACCATTTCTACCGCTCTGTTGGTCGCCAAACGCTTAGTTTTGATGAGCACTTTGGTTTGTCAGATCGCGTCAATCATTAATTCTCGCCCCTTGCTATCAATTTCAGATGATGATCTCGATGTTTTGACACCTGCCCACCTACTTTTTGGTAGCCCTCCTACTACTATCATTGAGTCCGATCTAACCAAGCTCAATCGGTTGGATGGCTGGCAGCGTGTAACATACCTGCAGCAACTATTCTAGTCCCGATGGCAGAAGGAGTACCTCATTCTTTTGCAACAAGGCACCAAATGGCGGTCTCCTGGACGAAGGCTAAAAGTCAACGACGTAGTTCTGATAAAGGATGAAACTCTACCTCCCATGTGTTGGCCCTTAGCTAGGGTCAGCGCACTTATTCCTGGACGAGATGGCGTTTGCCGAGTTGCTGATCTGAAGACGTCAACGGGTGACATCAGGAGAGCTGTCAACAAGTTGAGTCTGCTGCACATCAATGATGGGCCCAGCGGCAAAGAATTTTGGAATAAAAACCTAATTTCATTAATAGCCCCATTCGACCAGAGGTCTCAAAGGGTCGTATTAGCTCGGGTCAAAATAGGAGTTTCTAGCACAATATAAACATTTCTTTAATATCAATATATAATAAAATTTAAAACCTGACTTAACAATTAAAATCATAAATATATAAAATAATAATATAGAAATATAATTAAATAAATTAATATAAATTAATCAACGGGCAATGCATGTAAAAACATAAAATTTGATTTCAGTAGTTTTAAATTTCAAAATTTAACTTTAATTTAATTTATCTTAACATTTAAACTTTAATTTTTGCATCGGATATTTTGTTTTAACGCATTCTTTCTTTTGACTTTCTTTTCTTGTAGATTTTAATTTATTTTATTCAATACCGGCACTACCATTAACTGTGAATTTTCACTCACAACCATTATCGCAGATCTATCGTTGAAAGCGCTTTCTCGGAAAAATTTTGGCTGAAAATTTAAACATTCAAAAAAAGCAAAGAAAATCACATATTGTTAGGAAAATTAAAACCTTAACCTTTTTTTCTTTTCTTCTTTTTGTTCTCAAAGAGGTTAGGTGTAAGAGAGAACATCAACAATCACGTCGAACCGCCTCTTTGCCATTTGCTTACTCCATTTTATTTTCTATTCTTTTTGGAATTAGCTTTGGCCCACAAAACTTATAAACTATCACTTATTGACTAATAAAACAAGGAAGAACGCTATAGTCGATACCTCGACAATCCGATACCCGTTACACAGCTAAAGGGACCAAAGGGAAATGGAGATATGCAAGCGAGATTGAATTGCGCCACCTACCCGTGATCTCAATATATGGTTATGTGGGGGGTAGACAGATTTAAGCGTTATGGTATTGACGAGACCAATACAGGCTTGGGCGGTTTGTTGGCGTTTTTGGATCAATCGACAGGTATTGACGAGACCAATAAATTTCAGTTAAAATGTTTTATCTACCATGAAAATTGTGGGCGCCACAGGCTTGGGCGGCTTGTGGGCGTTAGAGTGGGCGTGGCATATTCGCGTAACAAAATTGCGCTGCGTACAAGGCTACGAAATCTAAATCTTAAATCCCAATTCTCTATTTCTGATAGTTTTCGAGATGTCCGCGTTCATACCTACGATTTTTTGAAGTTTGTGGGCGGGTTGTGGGTTTTAAAGTGGGGGTGGCACAAGCAAGTAGCTTTAGAAATTCACAAGTTACTGGTGTACGAAATTTAGCTATTTATAGCTGTTTTTCCGACAAACTAGCTCGTTTTTAAAAAACTGCTAGAATTAAAGATTCTTATATTAAGCTTTTTAACCTCATCTAAAATTTTCAGAACATTTATATAAAGTTTGAATACGAAAAAAAGTTCAAATCTCTGGCGGTATTAGATTTTCTGAACTGGTAAATTTTTGTTGGTTAATAACTTTAAAACGTGACTTTTTACAAAAACGTGTCGTATGTCATAAGTTGAAGGGCTATACACCTTGAGTATTAACCTAAAATCTATAGAGCCGTTTTTGAGAAATAAAAAAAAGCTTAAAGAAGGCATGACAAATCATGTTAAAAAGGCGTACAAAGTATTATAAAATACCTTTCTTACCACAAATAGCACAAGCCTGTAACTGTAGTTCTTCACAAGTTACGGGTGTACAAAATTCAGCTGTTTATAGCTATTTTCCAGTAAAACTATCGAGTTTTCAAAAAGTGGTAGTACTTAAGTTTCTAACATTAAATTGTTCAACAAATTTTTAGAACCTTAAAATGCAGTTTTATACGCACAAAAAAAGTTGAATGCTCAGGCAATGTTAAATATTCTAAACTGGTAAATGTGGCAATTTTTGTTGGTTAATAACTGTAAAACGTGACTTTTCACAAAAACGTGTCGTGCAAAACTTTTTTTTTGCACAATCGATAAATATTGACGAGACTAATAGAGTGCAGGTAAAATATTTTATCTAGCATGAAAATTGTGGGCGCCACAGTCTTGGACGGCTTGTGGGCTGTAGAGTGGGCGTGCCATATACGCGTAACAAACTTGCGCTGCGTATAAGGCTATGGAATCAAAATCTAAAATCGTAATTCTCTATCTTTTCTAGTTTTCGAGATATCCGCGTAGGCAAACTTCGTCAACCGATAGGTATTGATGAGAACAATTAATTTCAGTTAAAATTATTATTCTAGCATTAAAACTGTAGGAGCCACAGTTTTGTGCGGTTTGTGGGCGTTAGAGTGGTCGTGGCACCCTGCTCAAATAAACTTGCGCTGCGCAGGAAGCCCAAAATTATAAGTATAATAACGTTCACAAATAAAAAATTCATTTCTTTTGCAATCCAATTTCAGACATTTTTATCCATGATATTTTATATTATTTCATTTTTATCAATGACATTTTGTATTATTTCACCTATGAAATCACAAAAGACATGGGGTGTCCTTGCACCCGCACAATTGTTTCTACAAAATAAATTTTTGAAATTTCATTAGAGCTTCAGAAAAAATGGAAAAAAGAATAAGAACTCATTTTATGTTTATTCTTGATTTTTTCAAATTCTTGCTGCCAATTTAGAGCTATACGCACCTAAAAGCAACAATAGCAATATTTTTATGCGTATGATTAGTACATTGCTACCAAAAAATACCGCTTCTACTTATAAATAAAGACAAAACTATATGATAAAATTTACACACACACAATTCGATGGCCTTTTCAATATATTACTGGTGGAGATGGTAAAATTAAAAACAATTACAATCTTTGTTCAATGCTAAAATATTTTGATGTCGTATTAAAAGTGTCTGAATTTACGGAAAAATGCAATTAATTGCCGACAATGTTAACAAGATCATTTTCAAAGCTTCAAACATAAAACAACAAGTATTTAAAGTTAATTAAGTTATAAAATTTAAATGTAACGTTTGAATGCTAAAGTGACTATGCCTTCTTCTCCAAACAAATCCCAATATGCTAGTCTCCGTGGATGCCGTGGTATAACAGCTAATAACTGCTAGTTATACCCGTTAATCGAAGAGTACAAGGGTATACTAGATTCGTCCAAAAGTATGTAACAGGCAGAAGGAAGCGTTTCCGACCCCATAAAGTGTATATATTCTTGATCAGGATCACTAGCCGAGTCGATCTACCCATGTCCGTCTGTCTGTCCGTCCGAATGAACGCTGAGATCTCGGAAACTATAAGAGCTAGGCTATTGGGATTAGGCATGCAGATTCCTGAGCTTCTTACGCAGCGCAAATTTGTTTCAGCAGCGTGCCACGCTATTTAGGGGTTATTTTTTGGCGATGCACCTAGCGAACGGCGGCACCTATCGGGTGTAAGCGATACTAAAAACCATGCATGACCTTAATCACTTATTAATTTAGTAATTTATAACTTCTTAAATAATAATGCGATTAGTATGAATATTAAAAGTATTGCACCAATAAAATCAATTTCAATTCACGCCGAAAAAAAATCCGTTTAGGCTGTAAAAGCTATATCCCGTTTTCTGTGCTCTTTATTTACGATTTATCACTGTGGGCGGCAGTACACGCAGTGACGAAGCGCACCAGGAATGTGTGCAAAGGCCACTGCTATATATGTATAGCCGCAGAACGGCAATGATTCACAAATCGAAAGGTATCGCAAAACAAACTCTGTGCCGCTATCGGTAAGCAGAGAAGTCGGTGCAGCGTAAAAGACTGTCGACAAAGGCGGTCGGGCAAAAAAGAGTGGCAGATACTAGGAGATTTCCCTCTCTTTCTTTGTGTTAGAATCGGCTGCACTCCGCGCGCTATTCGTTATTTTTTTGCGTCCCTTCGTTATGTTCAGCTAGCAACTAACATTCCGGCGTAAAAATTTTCGTGGACCAGCGACATGTTAAAGCCCTAATATTTTAGGTCCGTTATTGTATTTAAAAAATGAATTATATTGTTTTAAAACAGTAAATTGTTTGATCATAGTAAAATTATGTTAATGGAATTTACTTATAATGTTACGTTTACGTATTATACATTATTATTTTAATATAATTCTTAAGTTTTATTATAGAAATTTTGTCCGTTAAAATTTATTTAAATATTAAATAATATAATATATGAAAAATTCATATTGTATTTTCTACTGAATGTATGTATTTAGAAAACAAAAACTAAATATAAAAATTGTAAGATGTTGTTCCATTTAAGTTTACCACCGTCCATGTTTACCGAAAACGAAATGTAACGGTCTATGTATTATTTTGGCATTAATTATCCAATCGTTTCTATGGCAGCTATATGATAAAGTCGTCCGATTTTATTTAAATTTTATTCGAAATTCTGATGTATTAAAATTGCAGAGGGTATATTGATTTCAGTCAGAAGTTTGCAAAGCAGTGAAGGAGACGTTTCCGACCCTTTAAAGTATATATATTCTTGATCAGCATGACTAGACGAGTCGATCTAGCCATGTCCGTCTGTCCGTCTGCCCGTCTGTCCGTCCGTTTCTACGCAAACTCGTCTCTCAGTTTTAAAGCTATCGGGCTGAAACTTTCCCAAAAGTATTATATCTTTTGCAGATGTATATAAGTCGGAACCAGCCGGAGCGGACAACTATATCTTATAGCTCCCATAGGAATAATCAGAAAAAACATTACATGTTTTATATTCTCCGAGACCGCGATCGGTTCTGAAGTATTAAAAGTGTCTTGTATTAATTGTGTATTAAAATTAAAGATTTAACACCCGTTTTAAAAAAAAAAAATTTTTTTTAAATCATCTTCAAACAACGAACTTAATTTGCATACCATTTTTGATCAGCGTAACATTGGATTCATTATGCACTAGTACCTAGCCGTTGTATACGTCATCTTGTATACATGTTCTTTTATACTTGTCAAAAACTATATATTACTACCGATTCATTTGGAGTAAATGAGATAACAAGCAGCAGTGTGCCACGTCCACTCTAACGCTATTTAGGGGCTATTTTGTGGCGTTGCACCTAGCGAACGGAGGCACCTATCGGGTGTTAGCGAAACTAAAAACCATGCATGACCTTAATCACTTATTAATTTAGTAATTTATAAATTCTTAAATAATAATGCGGTTGGTATGATTATTGAAAGTATTGCACCAATAAAATCAATTTCAATCAAAATCTTTTAGGATGTGGGCACTATGCAGACACTTTTATATTATGGACTTCAAACCACTAAAACAATCTGGCGCTGCTTAAGAGCCTCTAGAATCTGTATGCTTAGTCCCAACATTTTAGCTTTTATAGGTTCCGAGACCTCAGCGTTCATACTGACGGACGACTCAGGTTTGAAACGCTCCCGTGTACAATGTATACTGTACATGTTACCTACTGTTAACGAATATAATAAACCCTTTTATTCTATGATTAACATGCATAAAAATCGTGAAAAATAATGTTTTTCTCTGTAAATGTTAAAAACGGAATTGCTGCTAAACAATGGTCTCACCGCTCAACTCCCGAGTAGATAATGTCGTTCTTGCTCAGTGCGGCTCCACCGCCGCCAAACAGCTCTCGAAGTGACTGCCACAGGCCGTTGGGTGCTACCTTCCAGGTGCTAATATCCATCCGATGCGTACCTGGAGTGGAGGGTATGTGTAAAAAGCCGTAGCCGACAGGCCAGGACTGTTTCAGTACGTCGATAGCGTACACCTCTACTAGCAGTCGTGGCCAGCCTTGCACAGAGCCGGCGCTGAGGTGTATGTCTAGGGTCTGGACGAAGTCCGCGCAGTTCTGCAGTCGATGGGCCGCTACGTGGCTCTCACCCTTCACCTCGCCCTGAACCAGACGCCATGCGTTTCCTTCGGGGAGAAATAGCCTTATTAACTTGGCAGAGTACTTGCTATTTCAGACTTACCGCTCTGCAGACTCCACTTGCAATATAGGTGCGGCTCGGCGAAGTGAACTGCTTTTATTATTTGTCCAATTATGTGGAAATCCGCCATTAATTTATTTACTTTATATTTTATATAAATTATTAGTTATTTTTCATTCCTCTCATGTTCTCTTGAGTGGCAGGCAGCTTGCATAGTTCGGTTCGTTGTTTTGGTAGTTGACCGTTGTCAAAGTAACCGAATAACAGGGTGGGTGCTGCCAACTCAGACGGAACTCAGAGATACTGGCTCTGGTCCTTGTAAAACAGAAGCAGGGCTTGCAACTTATACCTTTGTGAAGGAATGGATTAATTAACAAGGTATTGCCAATATAAAAGAACCGAAGTCAAAAAAACGACCTCGAAAAATGGAATAAATAGCACCAGATTACAAAACAAAATCGTTAAAATTCTACACGAAGGCGACTATACATTTTTGATGGCTAGAAACATTACGGGAAACAGAACGCTTTTCTACTTTTCTATACGCAACGAAAGTTATTTTCGCTAATATTGTTGCTAGCGCCCGAGAAAGTAAAAAAAAATAGGTAAAATTAAAAAGGCTCAGTCTTAAATTCCGACATAAAAAATATACCCAAAATTCCTTTTTCGCTTTTACTCAAAGATGAAACTTTAATCAATCTAACAAGACCAAAGATTGTATACCCTTGCAGTTAAATTTATTAAACTTAATTCAAAATTCTTAAAAATACAAAAAATTATATTCCCAATTGTATAAGATAATATGTCAAAATATGAAGCTATAATTTGTTTAATCTTATTTTCCCACCAATTTTCAGGTCGTTCCTATGGCATCTATATGATATAGTCGTCCAAGCGTAGGAGATTATATGTTAAAAAAGACCAAAGATATAATTTAAAAAAAATTTTTTTTCGATTATTCATATAAGAGCTATAAGATATAATTTTCGGATCCGGCTGGTTCCGACTTATATACTACCTGCAAAAGAAAGAAGACTTTTGGAAAAGTTTCAGCCCGAAAGCTTTAAAACTGAGAGACTAGTTTGCGTAAAAACGGACGGACAGACGGGCATGGCTAGATCGACTCGTCTAGTGATGCTGATCAAGAATATATATACTTTATGGGGTCGGAAACGTTTCCTTCACAGCGTTGCAAACTTCTTTTTGGGCCAGTTTGTTGTCGTCTATTGTATCAATTCATAGCATTATCATTTTTTATGTTTTTATATCAAGCCGTTTATGCTGCAAATGCTATATCGGCTTTCTTTGCTCTTTATTTACGATTTATCACTGTGGGCGGCAGTAAACGCAGTGACGAAGCGCACCAGGAATGTGTGCAAAGGCCACTGCTATATATGTATAGCCGCTGAACGGCAATGATTCACAAATCGAAAGGTATCACAAAACAAACTCTGTGCTGCTGTCGACGTCAGCAGAGAAGTCGGTGCGTAATTTTTCGGCGTAAAAATTTTCGTGGAGCAGCGACATGTGAAAGCCCTAATATTTTAGGTGCGTTATTGTATTTAAAAAATGAATTATATTGTTTTAAAACAGTACATTTTTTGATCATAGTAAAATTATGTTAATGGAATTTACTTATAATGTTACGTTTACGTATTATACATTATTATAACAATATAATTCTTAAGTTTTATTATAAAAATTTTGTCCGTTAAAATTTATTTAAATATTTAATAATATAATATATGAAAAATTCATATTGTATTTTCTACTGAAGAAGTAAATATTATATAGTCAGATATTTTTCGCGTTAGAAAGGGTATAGCTACAGTGGCACGCGCCAACAGCGACGAGAAAACAATAGAAATCAAGTAAAAGGGAGAGACGAGGACTTGGTGCATTCTGTTTGAGATATTAAAGAGGAAATGCAAGCCATTTAAACTGTGCGCAGCTAATCATATTTACATATTTACGTATTTTGTTTTTAAAAGTGAAAATAAACGAGAAAAGAAGTTAACTTCGGCACGCCGAATTTTTAATACCCTTGCAGGTCGTTCCCGTGGGAGCATTGTATGTACAGAGCTTTCCGATTTTTAGAAAACAAAAACTAAATATAAAAATTGTAAGATATTGTTCCATTTAAGTTTACCACCGTCCATATTTACCGAAAACGAAATGTAACGGTCTATGTATTATTTTGGCATTAATTATCCAATCGTTTCTATGGCAGCTATATGATAAAGTCGCCCGATTTTGATAAAATTAAATCGGAAATTCAGAACTAATTAAAAAATGTTATTTTCAAGCGCAGGACGTTATATGTTAAAAAACACCAAGGATATAATTTGTATACCCTTGCAGAGTGTATATTGATTTCAGTCAGAAGGTTGCAACGCAGTGAAGGAGATGTTTCCGACCCCATAAAGTGTATATATTCTTGATCAGGATCACTAGCCGAGTCGATCTAGCCATGTCCGTCTGTCCGTCTGTCTGCCTGTCCGGATGAACGCTGAGATCTCGGAAACTATAAGAGCTAGGCTATTGGGCACAAGTTTGTTTCAGCAGAAAACTGTGGCTTCAACATTTTTGACGCTAGAGTAAAATTTTTAAAAGAAATGTATTGTTCTCATCAATATCTATCGATTGACCAAAAAAAAAGTTTGCCACGCCACTTTAACGCCCACAAATCGCTAACAAACTTCAAAAAATCGTAAGTATGAACGCGGATATCTCGGAAACTATCAAAGATAGAGAAATGGGATCTCAGATTTTAATTCCGTAGCCTTGTCCGCACCGCAAGTTTGTCACGAGAATATGCCACGCCCACACTAACGACCACAAACCGCCCATATCTGTGGCGCCCACAATTTTTATGCTAAATAATTATGCTAGATTTAAATGAAATGTATTGGTCTCGTCAATACCTATCGATTGATCCAAAAAAAGTTTACCACGCCCACTCTTACGCCCATAAAGCTTATATCTGTCTACCGCCCACTTAACCATATACTGAGATCACGGTTAGGTGGCGCATTTTAATCTCGCTTGCATATCTACATTTCCCTTTGGTCCCTTTAGCTGAGTAATGGGTATCTGATAGTCGACGTACTCGAATATAGCGTTCTTCGTTGTTTTTTTTTTGTTGTTGTTGTTAGTTCTTGTTTGTTTAAATGTTTTAGTTTAATGCCTTTCTGATTTTAAATAACTTTTTGCGTTATTTTTAATGTATTTTATTTATTTTGTGCGTTGTTTTACTTATTTTGTGTTCTTGAATTTTTTTGGTTTAAGACTTTGGTCCACTTTTATTTTTGTATACCCGATACTCGTAGAGTAAAAGGGAATAATAGATTCGTCGGAAAGTATGTAACAGGCAGAAGGAAGCGTTTCCGACCCCATAAAGTATATATATTCTTGATCAGGATCACTAGCCGAGTCGATCTAGCCATGTCCGTCTGTCCATCTGTCCGTCTATCTGTCTGTCCGGGTGAACGCTGAGATCTCGGAAACTATAAGAGCTAGGCTATTGAGATTTGGCGTGCAGATTCCTGCGTTTCATACGTAGCGCAAGTTTGTTTCCACAAGCCGCCCAAAACTGTGGCTAGAACTGTGATAGAATACAAATTTTAACTGAAATGTATTGCTCTCATCAAAACCTATCGATTGACTCAAAAAAAAGTTTGCCACGCTTACTTAAACGCCCACAAGCCCCCCAAACCTATGACGCCCACAATTTTCATGCTAGATAAAAAATTTTAACTGAAATGTATTGGTCTCGTCAATACCTATCGATTGATCCAAAAAAATTGCCACGCCCACTTTATATTGAGTAGGCTGTATTAAAACTGCCACAATTGGGCTACATTTAAGTAGCCACACCTTTTATTTTACATATTTTCCGTATTTTTATAGGCTGTATTAAAACGGCCACAATTAAGCTTCATTCAAAGGCCACACTTTTATTTTAGTATTTTTTTTTCTTTATATATTTATGTACCAAAATAACACACATACAGCCGAAATAATTTTAACTTTTTATCGGTCTTCTTTTTTTCTGGTCGGTTTTTCACTCGTCGCCAATGTAATGACCTGTTAACAGCCTAATAATTATAAACTAACTGCACTTTCTCAGATATACAAAAAATGTTTATTATTTCTTCAGTGTTATCTGGACTCTACAAGAGTATATAAGCGACTGACGTAATGAGAGCCAGAATGCTCTCCGCTCTCAGCAACGCTCGCAGTGACAGGCTGCCACATCCCTGCGATAATTTTCAGCTACAGCTTCAAGTCCTGCTGCGCATCTGAAGGCTGCTCCACGTAGATATCCGGAATCGATTCGGCTTGCGGTAACTGTGGTGGCTTTGTACGAAGTGAGGCTGCCATCCGACTGTTGAGAAGATTCGATGACTAAACCAGAACCCCCCTGAGATCTTTATAACATGACTTATATTTCTCAAATACGATTTACCTCCTCCCGATATCTTCACTACGCTTCCATCTATCTGATTTACCTAAGACTGTTGTATCAAAATAAGGAGTTAACTTGTTAGGAAAAATTATCCTTAGTACTGCTTTATTTCCCCTAGTTTTATTTTCGATTCCGTGGCTCTCCTAGTTTTGCCTGCCACCTCCTTTCCTTTTTCCTTAGTAAAACAAAATAAAATCCCTGTCTCCCTTAAGATTCTCCCACCTACAAATATTATTATATAGAATAGTAATCGATGAGACCTAGCAAGTGCTCATTATTTGGCAACGGTACTAACTAATCAGTGACTACCCGTTGGGACTGGATTATCTGGTAAAGATACCATTATACAGTCGCGACAATCCTTGAGAAATTTTTCTGCAATTTTTGGCCACCATACTTTTGATCTTATTTGCCTTTTGATTGCTGCTTCTCCACGATGTCCCTTATGAGCTAGTGTTAAAACTCTCTGTCGTAGTTGTTGGGGGATGATCAAAAGGCTTCCTCTTAATAGAATACTACCAATAATCGACAGCTCCAGGCGAAACGGATAATATGGGCTAGTTTATGCAGAGCTCCAGCTTTCAATTTTTAGGCATGTTATGGCATCTAGTACTTCCTCGTCTCTTGTACTTATTTCGGAAATCTAGGATATATTTAAAGAAATCTAGCATATATTTAAAGATGTGGGTGTAGAAGATTATTTTGCCACTAAAAATTTTTCGTTGGCCTCGCGAGCTCCGTTTATATTTAACTTAATCGAACAATATTGTTTAGAATGAAAGCTTAAGATGAAACTAACCCATCTCATTGTGAAATTCAATTATGCTGACCGATGCATTT